AAGGAACAAAAAATAAAATAATAGAAGTTGCTAACTCGAAATCCAATTATGAAGGATCTCGTTCCGATCAATAATCAATAGTCAGTATAGTATAAGTATAGTAATAATTAAGTAATACAATGATTTCTAACTATATTTAGAATCACAGTATAGTATTTCTGTTTTCATTTAAGTATCCTGTATGATATTCTTGCCCTGCCTTAGCCATTCCATTTCCATTTCTGTTCTCACCCTCTTATTTAATAGATTAATAGAAATGGAATTTATTATTAATTGAATTTTGAATTTCTTATTAATTAAATTCATCTTATTAATTAAATTCAATTGAAGCCTGGACCGAATTTTGAGTTTTACTGAGGCCAAATCCGACTTTATTCTTTCTCTTTTCTAACTTTTAAAAATCAAAAAAGAAAAAAGAAGGAGACGGGGGGATTAATCTCAGATATTTGATTGTATCTCTAATCTTCTTCACCCCTTCCCGTGTCACTAACTAGAATGAAAAAAAGGAGAATATCAATGCATCCGGGAATAAATGATTGATCTCTATCAATAGACTTGCTAAAGCACCGAACCATAGAGTACTTACCACTGGTGCCACGGAGAGATATGTTTTTAGATCTCGCATTTAAAATCCTCCTTCTTTATTTTAATTCTTATTCTTTATTGTAATTTGTAATACGTAATTACATATATGATGAGATGGTTATTTAATTAATAACGACTTGTATTTGTACGCAAAATTCTTAATTCAAATTGAAATGTATATGATTCATTAGATATTCTTTTTTTTAATAAAAAAGAGGTCCATTTCTTCTCTGCCCGAGCATTCCCTAAAAATATTCATTTTTGTTAGGCGGATTTCAGATGTATATAAGTCTTTTATTATTATTATAATATGTTATATGATATGAAACTAAAAAGAAAAAAAATGGCAGGATAATTTATATATATCAACGGAGAAAATCAAGATATGGAAAAACAAGATAAAGATTCTTTACAATGACACTGTAAACAATTGAAAGGGATGTAGCGCAGCTTGGTAGCGCGTTTGTTTTGGGTACAAAATGTCATGGGTTCAAATCCTGTCATCCCTATCCCTAACTATTACTTATCTTATGAGCAATAACAAGGGATCAATTGAGACCAATTAAAAGTAGACCATACATACTCAATAGAAATAGATGGATATTCTATCAATATATATATATGATGAGAGTTCTATATATATAGATTATGATAGTATATGCATGCAAGATGAATTTGGGTCACATAAATTGATTTATGAAAATAAAGCGCTCTTAGTTCAGTTCGGTAGAAGGCGAGTCTCCAAAACTCGATGTCATAGGTTTAAATCCTACAGAGCGTGATTCCATTTTTGTTAGATCGAGAATGATACTAAAATAATGGAATAGTAGTCTAAAGTCTTAATTTTACCTCCTGTGGATTAGGATTAAATTAAAACAAAGAAATAGGAGGTCAATAAAAAAATGTTAATTAATCAAAGGTCCAACTGATCACCACGTTGGTATTGTAAATATGCAGTTATGAATCCAGCAGCAAAGTAATAGGAATTAGACCTAGCACAATTCCAAATAGAAAAACTTCAATCATTTTTATCTGTTTGAAAGGAGAAAGGGGGAGGTAATATATATCCTTAAACATTAATCTGTATTGCCCATGATCCCAATGACCAAGAATTGAAAATTGACACGGTAAGGGAACTATAGAATATATTGAATATCCCAGAAAGATTTATTTTTATGAATTGTTCATCAATTAATTTCATAATCTCAAATCAAATAAGTCATATCTTGCTCAGACCGATAAATAGAGATGAAGTTTATAGTTAATGCTTGTAGTAGAAAATCGAAATAACTAGTTATAGTGGGCATGAAGAGCTAAATGAAATATGTTCTTTTTATACATATATTTAAAAAGCACTTCTCTAAGTTTCCCTTTTGAAAGAAAGATAGGAAAATAAAAAAAAAAATACCACTTGAAAAATACAATTGAAAGTTTTTGATTCATCAATCAATCAGTTAGACGAACAAAAATATAGTAAGATAGGTAAGAAATCCATTCATCATCTGTCACATCTACCCATCCTGTGATTCCAAATCAACAGATTCATTGAACAACTCTTAAGTTGAGTAAACTAATATAATAAGATTCTTTTATTTAAGAATAAGAACTTTCTTGTGTAATTTCATTCAATTCAAAAAAAAAAAAAAAGAAAACCCTTTTTTTCTTTGAAATTAATATAGAATCAAATCAGAAAAATATCTATTTTGATCCTTTTTTCTTTTTATTTATTAATTTGGATTATATCTAATCCATTTTTTTTAGACCAAAAGAAAAGTGACTTTGTAATGTCCTTTACTTTACTTTTTGACTTTGATTTTAACTCATTGGATTTATAGTAGGTTCCATTCTCATAATATCTCCAATGAGAAGAAAAAAGGTATCAAATCGCTTAAAACTAGGGTTCTACATTTTTTTCTCTTGCCTTATTTTAATATAAGATAAAGCTCTATCCTTGTAATTAAGTAATTAAGCCAAGAAGGAGCCTTTTGGGTGTAATACAAGAACAACAATGCGCATGCCACGAATCGAATATTGAGAAAATTCTTCTTAAAAATAAAAATGAATTTTTTTGTTATTCTTCTGCCATTAAAAAACTATCTATTACTACTATATCATTTGATGAGCCATGTGAATCGCTAAAAACATGTGAAGTGTATGGCTAATCCAATAACGAAAGTTTTGTAAGGGAACTGGAGTAGGCTACCATGAGACAAAAGATCTTCTTTCTAAAGAGATTCGATTCGGAACTATGATATGTCCAAGGTCCAATATTGAAATAATTTCAAAGGTTTTCCTTTACTTTGTCCATGTCAACAAACAATTCGAAATGCCTCGACTTTTTTAGAATAGGTCCGAGTCAAATAGCAATGATTCGAAGCACTTCTTTTTACACTATTTCGAAAACCCAAGGACTCAATCGTATGGATATGTAAAATACAGGATTTTCAATCTAGTAGGAAAAGGAGGGAAATGGATACTCAATTTCACGTGAGTAAACAAAATTCCATACTCGATCTCATAGATACATATAGAACTCTGTGGAAAGCTGTATTCAATGAAAGTCGTATGTATGGCTTGGAGGGAGATCTTTCATATCTTTCGAGACCAGGTCTTATGGCAATTGCCAAATACCTAGTTTTTTGTACACTTTTTAAAAACTTTCTAGGGGTTCATTGGACTAAAAAAGGGAAGGAAGAAGGTGAGTCAGTATGCTAATTACTCACCCTCAAATCAGCCC